CTCTTTTACTTGCCTCCGATAGTTTTCAGCTTTGAGGAAAGCTCTTTCTCGCCTTTCTTCGATTAAGTGGAGGTCTGCGCCATTGCTTCTTTGTTTTGTTGGGGTCGTAGGCCTTCTCTCTCCAATTGGGGACGATCACTTTGGACGGTACCCTGGCATCGAACCTGTAGCACATTGAAAATGGAGTTTCCCCGGTGGCCCTCATCGGCGTGGTCCGATATGCCCAGGGTACATTTGGGAGTTGGTCTACCCAAGCTCCTTTATAAGCCTCTAGTCTCTTCTTGATTCCGTCCATGATTGTCTGGTTGGCGTTTTCCACATGGCCATTCCCTTGCGGGTATGCGACGGAGTTGTAGGTGTGTTTCATCCCCCAGCCTTGTAAGAGTTCGTTGAATTCTTTCGCCTTGAATTGGGTGCCATTGTCTGTGGTGATCTGTTTTGGGACGACGTACCGGCTGAGTATGTTACTGCTTATGAATTTTAGGCACTGCTCAGCGGTTCCTCCCACAAGTGGTTCAGCCTCTACCCATTTGGTGAAATAATCCACGACCACGAGGATCCAATGGAAGTTTCTAGGTGCCCTGGGCATGAGGCCGATCATGTAACGCCCCAAAAACATACCCTAAAATTTATTGAATTATTATTGAAATAATTAAATTTGTTTTGATTAAAAGAAAATAAATTATTGTTGGGCTTTGGGCCGAAATGAAATATGTTTTAATATCTAATATCAAAATCAATCCTCTTATTCTTAAAAGGAGGGGAATTATGCATGCTGCTTTTCACGCCCAAATGCCATCGACTATGAGCCGTTGATTTTAAGTAGTTTATTATACATTATTTTATCTACGGTTCTTATGCACTTATCACTTGATGGGTCGAAAAAAAGGAAAAGAAAGCTTTAAAATTAAATCAACGGTTGTATTCCATCAAAAAAAGGAAAGTTTATAAGATGGGGAATTTTGCTTACCGTAATTAACTACAATTAACTTCATAAAATTCGTAATAAAGATGTAAAATTCGTGTGTATTTCATTAAAAAAAGGAAACTTTAAAAAAAAAGGAAATCCATACTTTATTTAAAAAGACATGAAGTCAATATTGTGTTTTTCCGCCAAAGACTATGGCCATTACATATGGTAATTTGAAGTTAAAATGGTAAGTGTCTGAAATTATAATAATATAAAATTTACGTTTTATAAGTATAATTATTATATTATATTTATAATAATTAACAGTCATAACTATTTAAAATTATCATTTTTAAATTAAGGAAATAAAAATCCGAAAATTACCATTTTTAAAATTTTTCTCCTTTAATGATAAAAATTTAGAAGTATTATATTTAATAAGACTGATTATTATTAAAAATAGTAATAATGTAGACCGACGTAATTACGAATTAAATAATGTATCCTTTAATGATAAAAATTTAAAAGTATTATATTTAATAAGACTGATTATTATTAAAAGTAATTAATATTTATTCAGCTTCCGCAACATTGAATTACTCCGTTGTTATCTTGAATGCTTTATTTTGAAATAAAGTTTTTTAAAATGTTTGAAATATTTTGAATGTTTACGAATCCCAAGTGTATACTTTAGTCCGAAAGGTGCTACAGACATGGACGGATTAGGGTGTTACAATTTGGTATCAGAGCAAATGGTTTTAAAACCGATCTTTGGATTAAAAATTTGATAAAAAAATGTCAATCACATTCACGACTCTCGCATCCCTCTGCTCCAGGAAAGGTGTATGAGAATTCACTAGCTAAATATTGACTTGTTTAAATTCTCATTAGATAACAATTGTTAGTACTGAAATTGTATTGAGCGTAGACTCAAGTTGAACTTTCGTACTCAGCAAGAGACGAAAGAATAGAAGAAAAAAATTTATGACTCTCTGATCTGATATCAACATGTTTATCGCATCACTAATGACGAAGTTGATCTATAGCGTAAAGTCGCATGGAGTTGACACGATTCTAAAAAAACGATTAATGTTGATTTTACGAAAAACATTTGTGAATCCAGTGTCGAAGATCCTCATGTGGACTCAACATGATCTGATCGCTGATTCAAACACGAACGTTTAGAATCAATAAACTCTGTTATCTAAAGTATCTCATTCTGATATCAAACTCATTACGACGCAAATATGCGATTATATCATATGAATCAAAATCGTTCGTTAAGAAAAAGTTCCTTGCAAAACCGCGTTGAAATACCATTTAAGCAAATTGACAATATCCTTAGTATGAATTGACTGGCTGAACGTCGTTGCTGTTGACAACTTGTTGTTGTGTACATATTTAATTTTTCAAATATTATTTATTCTACTTTGCAGTTGATCTCTATAGTACTGAGTATTAAAGAATGTGTTTAAAATATATTTTCTTTATTCCTAAAAATATTGCATAAAAAAGTTCAGAATCTACAAAATATTTCGTTCAACCCCGTGCATCGTATGCGTCAAAATACTAATAAAATAATATATATTTTAGATTTAATTTTAATTATAAAATTTTGGTGCCTCTTCTTTTAATTTTTTATTAATTAAAATAACTTTCAATGTTAATACATTGAATGACCCTTCATTTTGTATAAAAATTTTCTATTTTCTAAGTATTATATCAATATGTATTTCACCATTTTTTAAATCTACATAGTTATTTTATTATTTTAAAAAGATGGTTTTATAAATTTTACTTAAAAATTTTATTTGGAGTATAATCCTTAAAATTATTAACCATTATTCTATTTTATTTATTTTCAAGAGAAAAAATCTATATAGATGTTAATAAATGTGAATTATTATTAAAACTATAAGTTTTATTTTAAAAGATATCATATTTAATAATTAAGTAGAATAAAATATAATTATACTTTAATTGAAAAGTCCTTAGTAGAATTAATTATATTTTAAAACTACAACTTTTATTTTAAAAGATATCATATTTCCAATTTGTATTTAGTTGAATAAAATATAATTATTACGGAATATTAAACTAGTACTATAGTTTGATTCAAACTAGAATTTTTATCAAAATATTAAAATTTTTAAATGTTGTATTGGAGTTCATGGATTAAACATATTTTTTTAAATAAGTATTAAAATAATTTTAAACTAATAGAGTAAATTTAGAGCCTGTTTTTTAAGACTGGAAAAAAAAGAGCTAGATGCTGGAAGAAACTGGAAAAACTAGAAAAAACTTGAAGGAGCTGGAAGAAACTGGAAGGAACTAGATGAAACTGGAAGGAATTGGAAGGAAATGGAAGAAACTAAAAAACATTAAATGAAACTGAAAAAACTAAGAAACATTAAAAATCTTAAAAAAATTTAAATTTTTTTGTGTATATTTATATTATTCTCATTCTGATTCTTGTTGTTATAAATTATTATTATTATTATTATTATTATTATTATTACTGTTATTATTATTATTGTTATTGTAATCACGTTATCTTAATGAATGCCTTTTTGTATACTTTTATATTATTCTCATTCTAATTCTTGTAAATTATTGTTGTTGGTGTTGTTATTGTTGTTGTTGTTGTTATAAACATAATAAGTGTAATAATAATAATATATAATTTTTAGAATAATTGGTCGGGAAGTAGTAATAGATTGAAGAAAAAAATAGTTGAAAGAAATTGAAAGAAACTGGAAGGACTCGGAAAAAACTGGAAAAAAGAGGAACTGGAAGAATTGGAAAGAAATAGAAAAAACTAGAAAAATTAAAAATTAAGAGTTCAAGTCTTAAAGAACATACTCTTAGAGCATGTTCTTTAAGACTGGAAAAAAAAAGCTGAATGTTGGAAGAAACTGGAAAAAACTGGAAGGAATTGGAAGAAACTGGAAGAATTGGAAGAAACTGGAAAGAACTGAAAGAACTCAAATAAACTAAAAGGAATTGGAAAAAACGGGAAGAAAATAGAAAAACTTCAAAAAATTAGAAAACCTAAAAAAACTTTAAAAACAATTTATTTTAAATTCCTTTTGTTATAAATTATTATCATCATCATCATCATCATCATCATCATCACCACCACCACGTTATCTTAATGAATGTTTTTAAGATACAAAAAAAGTATTGTTATTTTTCAAACGCAAAAAACTACTTTTGCAAAAAAATAATTATAATATAAATTTAGCATGAATATAAAAATATTAAATTTTAAATTTTCTTTGTGGTTATGTTGCACCTCAATTTATTTATGCAATATTTATTATAAATAATATATTTATAATTATACTTTATATATTACAAGATTTTGTTTTAAATATCAGACATGTCACATAATATAATCAAACCTATTTTTTCTTTCATGATTGAATTTTATTTTCATTGAAGTCCTATTTTGGAATAAAGACATAGAACTTTTTTTTACATTTTTTATGTTTTACTCCTATTTTGATCTTTTTTTCTAAACTATTTTGACTTACATTTTTTTTATAAAGTTTAGAAAAATGAGCAAATTTTAAGTAATAAAGAGAAAGGTGAGAGATCTTATATAAAGTTAGATTAATAAAAATACCTAAGTCACTATAGTTTAACATATTGATATTTTCCTGTTTTATCAAGTACATTAATATACCAAAAATTGTCTTATTCATATAAAAAAATTGAAGAAAAAAATAATGAGTGTGAATCGTAAAAATAGTGAGATGAAAAAAATAATTTATAAATCATAGTTCTGAAGATAACAGTTGTAATAATAATAATTACATTAAAAATATATCGTTTTTAGAGTAATTGGTTGAGAAGTAGAAAGAGTTTGAAGAAAATGAAAATAGTTAGAAGAAATTTTTAAAATTTTTATGGTAACTTCTTTTGGCAACTTCTTTGCAGTTAATTTTTTAAAGAAATTAACTTCTTTTCTTTAATAGTTAGAAAAAATATGATTTGAGTACCAATGAAAAATGAATTGCTAAAACACATTTGGTAGTGTAAAATATAATATACACTATCAAAATTTACAATACCGAAAGATGCTCTTACAAGATTATTTTGTCATGGGCAATGCTAGGGATACACCAACATGGGGTACTCTAAGTGTACACCAAGCCAACACAGACACACACAGACACAAAATGTCTGTGCAATACAGACACTTTGTGTCTGTGTTGGCTTTGGTGTACACTTGGACTACCCCTAGCTTAATTCTTTTGTTTTGTCGTAGATGCACTGCAATTCTCCGTCAAACTCAAACCGGCTCAAACGTCACCCCAGCGAGTCACACACTCAGAAGCTCAGGCAGCTGTCCATTAATGGCAACAGAAGGTATCGAGGGACAACGACGAGATGGTGAAGGCTACGGCGTGCTCTTGTACTACAAATACGCCATCTTCCCCGATCTCGAACAACTCCTTAACTTCTACAGATCAAACTGCGCCTCTCTATCCCTCGTTGGCCGCATCCGCCTCTCTTCCCACGGCGTCAATGTCACCGTAATCTCCCCGGATTCTCTACGTATTTTCATATTCAGAGAAGAATATAAACTTCAAATAGTTTCTCAATAGATTTATGATATGGCACTTGCATTGCTTTTGAAAAATTCATTCTAGTTTAGCTGTTCTTTGGGTAGGAGTGATGCTCTTAATAAACATTTTAATGGTATTTTTCGATTTTCCCTATTGATACGGAGCATTTTTATGAGGTATTTAGCACTATCGATACTCCACATTTGTATACCTAGAGTGAGAGTGTCATCTGATTTATTACCAAGTTAAAAATTTCTGTCATCCGATAAACTTATCATGCAATGTGAGTAGTCTGGGAGTTGGGACATCTTTGATTCTTTGTTACATTTAGGTTGGGGGGAAATTGTCTGCTTTGAAGGAGCACATTGCTGCAGTGAAGCTGAATAACTTGTTTGAAGGGACGGATTTCAAGCTTGCATCTTGTCATGAACCCTTGAACGATAGGATTGCTAAAGAATGTGGATTCACTACTCTATCCATACGCATAGTTGAGGTAACTCAACATTTTTGTTGGAGCTATAACTTCCTCTGCTGCTGTGAAGTGTATTGTTGATTGTGATTCTCTTTATTTATTGTACAGGAATTGGTAACTTTGAGTTCCTTTCCGCTGGCAAAGTCTCCAGAAGTTTCAAATGCAGGAACACATCTTTCTGCAGCTGAATTTCATTCTGTGCTTAGTGATGCCGGTATGTACTCACACACCATAAATGTGTAACTTGTGTTGGTGTGCTTTTTAAAAGGAAAAAAAATACAAGATCAGTCTTCCAATGTTCCTATATTTTCTATTTTTGGCGCCTAACCTTAATTTTTATATAACATTTTAACTTTATACTGTGTCCTAAGATCCTTCTGCTGAGGAAATGTGTCTTGCTGAATGGGGTTTCACATGTATTCTGATTCTTGATATGCAATACACCAAGGGCGTGTACTGTGTATTGATAAGTGGTTTGGAGCATGATTTTCTGTTTGAAAACCAGTAATTCAACTGGTCAAACAGGGTACATCATTTTTAGGATGTAGGGAGTTTGCAATAATGTATGTACATGATGCTCGAGTAGGTTGCTTGTCTGGTTTACTTTTTAGTACCTGGTTTTGAGTGCCAAAACATTTAGAAACACACTCAAATGCATAAATGTCAGGGCATAGTAATAGCTCCAAACAAGATATAGTTGTGTGAAAAAGTAAGAAAGTTAATCCATTTTGATGTACAAAAGATTTTGAACTGTTCATATGATAATTAATGGCATTGATAATCCACGAGCATTTTGTGGACCATAGTTTCACAGTCTTACTCCTATGAAAACAGAAACACTGTTTCCATTACACCATAGATGCATTGCTGCATTTTTTGTCCAAAACATCATAGAGGGTAGGAAACAACGGAAGTTTGATGTGCATGTCTTATTTAGCCCATTATGTGTCCAAATCTAGAACACATTTTCAATGATGACTCTTTTAGCTCCATTGTTCTAAAAATCGCTAGGCAGTGCCAGGCAGAGCATAGGCTGGATCAATTGAAAAATTTAGACAACCAAAGGAAAGCTAGTGCGTAGGTTGGGATTTTAAGAGAAGAGATTGAAGCATTGTATTAGAAAAGTGTATGTTAGACGCTGAAGTATATGATGTAGACACTTTGAGACACCAATTTTTAATATTTCATTTTTTTCAATGGAATATCTTTTCATGGTTTGTAAAGGATTTCATGGAGCATATAATTTATTTGGCAACAACCTAATTATCCATACAATTCTAGGGCACTCACAGGAAAAAAGTGAAAATAGAACACTCCTGCTGGATGCCCGGAATTTATACGAGACAAGGATTGGAAAGTTCTCGACTCCAAATGTGGAGACATTGGATCCAGGAATTAGGCAGTACAGTGACCTTCCATCCTGGATAGACATTAATGAAGAAAAATTGAAGGGAAAGAATATCCTTATGTAAGTATTATTTCAAAGCTCTTTTTTTCATTGTTCTTATATTATGAATAAACACAAGTTTATTACACCTTTATGGTTGGTATCATCTTTCAAAACCTGCACTCATTATCTCATCGTATTTGTTTGAACTTTCTAACCTTAAATGGGGGAAGTTGGATTTTAGTTTATTTGATTTTATTGTGTAAGGGTCTTAAACTTAAGTGACATGCTTTATAGTTCTTGTATGCATCGTCAGACACAGTAATTATAACCAGGCCGCAATGGCCATGCATAATTAAGAGCTTGGCATGATAATACATTACTCTTCCATAAATAGAGTCATTTTTATTGAGGTACGACTTTTAAGATTTGATAAGATATAACTATATGCCGCATTTGGATTGAGGTGAATCTAGGTAAACACGGAGTAATTTGGTCCACTTTTTGATGGAACTTATTTGATATTATTAGCTTTAGTTAACTGTGAGTCTGTGATGAACCATTTACCTGATTAACTCCATTTTTTGACCCTTAAAGTTGGGGGGTAATCAGGATGAAGGGTAATAAGTGAATTAAACATTCATTATTCCGCCAAACCTGATCAAGTTTGGTAAATCTATAACACTATCCAAATATTTTATGAAACAAATTATTTCCATTTTATGAATCATGACTTTTTTTTGGAACAACTTTGAAACATGACCTTTTTGGGATATAAGAAATGTGTGTGAGAGTGTGTATATAGTATAGACACATACAAATATATTATACACTATACACACACAACCATAAAAATTCAGCTTTGCCAGTGCACGGACTTTAGTAGTGTCTGACTGTCTGCCATTGTTTGTGTAGTCTACTATCAAATATTTCTTAATTTACTATGCAGAGTGCTTCACTTCTTCAACTACTAAGTTTGAGGATATTATGATTGCCTGAATGTCCATGATCAAGTCTTGAAAAAATTGTATTTCTGAAATATTACATTTTTTTTCCATTTTGGGTAAAATACTCTTCAACTTTGCTTATTTCATTTCATTAGTAAATAAACTAATGCCAAATTATTTCATGAAGTGAATTTTGTGAGTAAAAGGGCAAGTGCAGCCCTACTTATTTGTGAACAAAAACTTGATATTTGTATCATAGTTTTTTTACTGATTGAACATTATGCTTGAAATGCTTGTATATCAGCTTGGTGTTTATATCCTTCATACTTTATATAGGTACTGTACTGGGGGGATTAGATGTGAGATGGCCTCAGCCTATATTAAATCAAAAGGTGCTGGTTTTGAAAATGTATTTCAGGTAATTCTATCAAAAGAACTCTGCATTTATTTCGAAATAGCTCTTTAAAATCACCAGGACTTGTTTATTGGAAGACTTTAACATGGGTGCCAGTGTGCTTACCTGCTTACTCGAATTGGCAACTTCTTTGCAGTTATATGGTGGGATTCAGCGTTATCTAGAACAATATCCTGATGGGGGGTTTTTCCAAGGAAAGAATTTTGTTTTTGATCATAGGTATGGCTCTCCCATAGTTGTTACGTCATAGAGTAGTCGTTCACCATGCGTCAGGTCACCGGGAAGGGACGACCGGTGGTGGCGACTAGCGACTCGAGTAAACGACGCATCACGCCCACGATGTGAGATTAAAAAACCCTAAAATATGGCCGCTGGATTTCAAATATGAAAATCCCAGTCTATCACCATTCACCACCATTGCGAGTTGCGACACAGATCTGCTGCGGCTGTGGCTAGAGGGAAGTAGATCTGTCGCCGTCATTCGTTGCAACAGGCGTCTTGTTTATTAAGCTTTAGTCTGTCGTAGGTTCCTTCCTTTTAATGTCCCATATTTTGTTTCTTTTCATTATCATTATCTTTAATTTTTGTTTTGTTTTACCTTTTTGGGGTGGGGGTGTGCCAACTGCCAAGGGATGGGTCTGTTTGGGTTTGTTATACTCCCTCCATCCCAAATTAATACTCTCAGTTTGACTTCCACAGAGTTTAAGAATAGTGAAAGTGATGCAGAGAGAGAAAAAAGGTGAGCAACAAAAAGCTTTCCAAAAAAGGAAAGAAGAAGATTAATTTGGGACAACCCGAAAAGGAAAAAAGCAGGATTATTTTGGGACGGAGGGAGTATTATTTTTGCAACTAAATTTTGTGTTAGATAAGGGTATTGCACTTATCGTCTAATTATTGACCGACTAATCGATTAGTCTGGACTCATCCACGTGACAACCATGGGCTCTACATCATAGTCCTTTCATAATTGCCTATTCTGTGATCATCTTTATAAGGTCAGATTACACCTTTCTGGGAAATGCTGGAATGCTACTGTAGACTGCTAGAAAGTAATTACTCCGTAGTCCGTACTAAATAGAAATTAGCCAGGTTGAATCATTAGTTGCCATTTAAATTTTACGAGTGAATGGCTGATTGCAGAGTCTCAGTGGGGAGCTTGGATTCAAAAGTTTTGGGTACCTGCCTTCTTTGTAACTCATCCTTTGATGATTATTCTTCTCGCAGAAGGTGCATTTTCTGTAGAATGCTCGTGTTAATCTGCAATAGCTGTCAGGTATGGCTAGTTAAAAATGTTTTGGCAAGCTTGCAACTTCTATCATGAGTTTACTTAACATATGTGGAGACTTGTGGTGTTCATTTGTAGTTTTTTCATGTGAAAAATTGTTATTGTACCACGCAGGATGTAAATTCTACTTATGCTTGTGAACTATGCCAAAAAGCTGGCAAGGATGTTCGCTCGGTTTTGGAGATGAAAGTTCCCAAGTCAGTAGAAATATCTGAAGGTGGAGGGGATAAACCTGAAGCTGTTTCCACTTTGAATTCAACAGAATTCTTGCCTATTGTTGCACGATCAAATGGTAAGGCCCGTGATCGTAAACAAATTCAATTTTTGTTTGTCGTGAGATAGGTAAAACTCCCTTCATCCCATCATAATGTAGGATTTATTTGGGTTTGGCTTCACATGTTCTTCAAGAAAATGAAGGAGATTTTGGTTATTCCACAATTTAAACTTTTTTGAAAAGAATGGGCTCACAAGGTAAAAATGGAAAAAGGATAACTAAGAGAGTTAGTTGGTGGAATTTACCTTTAAAAAAAAAGATCCAACAAAATAGGAGCACTTGATGTATTTGGTATGTCAATAACTGAATATATGACATCATTGCTGTCTTCTCCTTGTAGTTGTAGCAGAGGTGAGGTTTGATTGTTAGAATACATAGCCCATCCCCGGCCCTACTCTTGAGTGGGATATACTGTTTTTCTTTTGTTTGGTTTGAGTGAGATGTGCATTTTGACTCTATGGTGGTAAGGTCAACCGCATACATCATACCCTCTCTAGACCCCTCTTGTGGGAATCCACTGAGTTTGTTGTTAGTTTGGTTTGTATATGTGCCTTCATTATGTCCTCGGACAGTTTAACCGATATTTTGCAAAACATGGTTCAGGGACACAAATGTCCAGAAGGAGACTGAGGATTTTGTGCTTACATGGCTTCCGCCAGAACGCTTCCGGATTCAAAGGAAGATCGGCCTCGCTAGCCAAAAAACTCAAGAACATTGCAGAGCTTATCTTCATCGATGCACCCCATGCCTTACCCTTCATCTACCAACTCCCTCCACCAGACCATCACTGCAATCTCATTTCGTCTTATCAGTCCAAAGACACCAACCTTCCTACTGGTGGTTGCAATAGAAAGTTTGCATGGTTGGTTGGAAGCGGGCACACTCCAGGGACCAACTCTGATTGGAAAATGTCAGACCGTAAATTTGATCATCTGCAGTACCAAAACCAAACCGAGGGGTTCGACGAATCACTCTCGTACCTGAAAACTAAGGTTTCTGAAGGAGGGCCGTTTGACGGGATCTTGGGGTTCTCACAAGGAGCTGCAATGGCTGCTTTACTCTGTGCACACAAGGAGAAGTTGAAAGGAGAAATAGATTTCAGGTTTGCAGTTTTATGCTCCGGCTTCGCTGTGAATATGGATGACCTCGGGCAGGGGTCAGTAAACTGCCCTTCGCTCCACATATATGGGAATGACAAGGGCAGCGACAGGCAGATAGAGAACGGAGCTAGTCAACGACTTGCTTCCCTGTTTGACGATGCCTCCTGTGTGGTCATTGAACATGATTTCGGTCACATTATTCCGACATGTTCCCCATTTATTGACCAGATCAAAGACTTCCTTCACCGTTTCCTGTAATTTACGCATGCCCGGCTGTTGCTGACTGGAACCAGTATTGAAGAAGCTCATTGAAAAGAATTCGAGTTAGCCTATAGGTATGATCATTGTACAATGCTAGAGTGACAAAGGAGTTCATATTTATTACGTGATGTGGAGTGGGACATGATCTTAGCTTCCGTCTCATTTTGTTATCTGCACGTATGAATCCCATTTGGCCTTATTTTGTTTGAGTTGTTTTAAACTTACGTGTCATTTTATACTCGCCATTAGGCGATTTTACATAATTTAAAAAAAAAAATTAAAAATGAAAAATCCTAAAAAGTGTGAACTTTATTTTGAGACATTAAAGAATAGGAGTAATCTTGCTGCAATACATGATCCACTGCAAGTTTTAGCAAGTAGGTGAAGGGGTAGTGATCTAGAATGCAAGCACTGTGTTTTCTTTCACATCTTTGGGAGCATGAATAGAAAAGGATGAGAACGTTGGCCGTTCACCTCCCCCCTACCCCCATCCCCGACATTTTCAAGATTGTCAAAGAATCGGGAGGGGAGAGGGGGGTTAGGTTTCCAACATGAGGTTTGCATAACTATACATTTATGATACTGAGCATTAGGATTTCAATAGAATCTAAGCTATTGGGTAAGATCTATAATACGAAATTCAAATGTAGACATTATTAATCATTACGTTTATGTTAAAATAACATACATTTAGTACTTTGTATTTTAATTTTCAATAGGAGTGACACTCATGACAATACATTACATATAGAGATCGTTACAAAATTGAGGGAGAAGCTAGACGAACGCAATGTGTTGGTGAAGTAATTTCGAATGGTAAGAGAAATAATGATTAACTAGGCACAAAAATTCAGGCTGTAGATACCATTTTCCTATTGTGTTAGAAGTCTCGGGCATTAGTTGTTGGTGATGTTGACAAGGCATTGGGTGAAAGAGATATACTGATTGAGAATCAACGCAGGAAGTTAAAATTTATAAGCAAATAAAGTCCAACATATTTACCACTCCAATATTCATTACTCTTTCCATACGAAGATGACGGTTATCAAAAGGACATACCCTTCAAAGACCCAGAAACATCCAAAGTTGGTGGTAGAAGAAGTCTAAGTATTAGAGAGCGTATGGCTTACAAATCACATGAGAGGAAAAATGAGAACCAATTCATACTAAAATCTATGAGGCTGTTTTGAGAAATTTGTGTTGATGGATAGATGGTAGAGTCTTCGAGCTTGAGGCTTTGTTACATAAGCACACATAAAAAAAGTTGTGAAGTGAAATGTATAATTGTCTTATAGACTCACTACTAAGCAGTGACCCAATTTCATCAACTAAGGGCAAATGTATATGTCATTCTACCACCGACATTGCGGGTGGAGCACGATTCATGATTTAGAAATATGATGGCTGTTAGAATCTGAGAAATATTTCATGGGCCACAACCACAAACTTGATCTTTTGGTTGAGTTGGTTCCTTAACATGGTATCAGAGCCTTGTTGACTAAGAGGTCACATGCAATTGCTCGAAAAAAAGATTACGTTTACACGTGAGGGGGCGTGTTAGAATATAAGAAATATTTCCTGAGCCATAACCACAAGCTTGAGCTTTTGGTTGAGTTGATTTCTTGACAATGGCAATATGTCGTTGGACTGAGTGTCTGGATCTATTTCTCACTTTCGCATGTAACCTAGATGGCCAAACATTGATAATAATTTGTCTTATTGAATAATGATTGTTTCACCCTTATAAATAGGAAATACATGAAAAGTCCTAATCAAGATAAAACAACAATTATGGTAACAATAGATTAAGAAAAGTAAATAATAATAGGAATATTCTATTTTAAATTATCCCTATTATTCCTAATAACTTTTGAGCTTTTGGTTGAGCCGATTCCTTGACATGGTATTGAAGCTTTTTTACCACGAGTTTGAAACTCACTGCCACCCAGTTTTTAAAAAATTACTCCCTCCGTCCGGGAATGATGTTCCCAGTTTGACTTTTCTTCATTTTTAAGGAGTGTTGACTTTCGCATGAAAATGTCCAAAACACCCTTGCATCCCCACCACTGCCTAATTCCACCTGCTAGAGTTTTAGCCGCCACCACCGCCCCACCCTTGCCCCAGCCCCAACCGCCCCATATAGCATCTGCCGACCTCGACCGCCAACACCAGAATCGTTACAACTACACCACCTCCACCATCCCCCACCACCATCGCACGAGCTCCACCCTCACCACCAGTCGCACCATCACCATCTCTGGGAGAAAAAGAGAAAACAAAGAGGAGAAAGATGAGAAAAAGAATTTTAAACACAGAGTCCACAGATCTAACATAGATATATCGTAGATCCACCACTGTCTTAGCTCCCATCGCCGCCATCGGTCCATAATCGCCGCTAGACCCATAAATCTAGAACAGATCTAGAAGGAGGGGGAAGAAAGAAAAGAAGCAGGTGTAGGAGGACGTGTAGAAAGAAGGATGATGAGAAAAAGAAGAAAAGAATAAGAGGAGGAGAAGAAGATCGGGGAGCGGGGAAGAAAGAGAGAGAGTGAGAGATAAGGTGGGTGACGGAGAAAAAGGAGTGTGAAAGAAAAAAAAGGATAGAGATTTAAGGAGAGGGGTAGTTTAGGAAAAATTGTGATAAAAATGTAGAATGGGAACATTATTTCCAGACGGAAAAAAGGTAGAATGGGAAGATCATTTCCGGACGGAAGGAGTAAATTTTACGTGCAAAACTCGAAAAAACCATGACTGCACATGAGGGAACGTGTGAAAATATAAAAACCTTTCCAAGAACAACCATAAAGCTTGAGGTTTTGGTTAATTAGTTCCATGACATATATATTCTAATAATAAATATATATGGAGTACTTATATACTCTGTAAATAAATGTGTAATTTATCATGGGGACCTGAGTCTGCGTAGGTCCCTTTTTAGGTCTACCCCTTGCACTCCGCCCTAGTACCCAGGTTGCCTCTTCTACATTTCCATCCCCCCTCCACTGTAGATGTTAATCGAAGGAGAGGGGCTAGGGTGTGGGTGCATGAGAGTAATAGCATATGGTTGTTTGTGAGGAGAGTTAGGCCCCGTTCCGTTCAATTTATTTTTTCTTATTCTTATTAAAATCAAATCAGATCAGACCAGATTAGATCAGATCAAATCAGATCAGATTGAATTAGATCTGATCTGATCCAATCTGATCTGATCTGATCCAATCTGATCAGATCAGATCCAACCAAATCAGATCTCATCAAGAATTATTATTATTATTATTATTATTATTATTATTATTCTTAAAAATGAAAAAGAATAAACTTTAGAAACAAGTTAAATAGAAAACTGAGAAATTAATCCTTTATTACTAGATGTCGGAAATTATTTTTAAAATACATTGACAATGTCGATATAATTATAATTTTAAAATACATTTTTATATTAAAATATTAAATTAATATTCTTATTTCACAAAAAAGAATCATAAAATAAAAAATATTATTACATTATAATATGAATGATTATTCTAATATACGTAGTATGAATTAACTAATTTTATTTTATTAAAAAATAATCAGAAAATAAAAAATATTGATTATATTATATGAATTATCGTTTCAATTTTCAAACGTTATTATAAAGTTAAATCAAATTATTGATTTGAATTTTAAATCAAATCATAATTAATTAGATCAGATCAGATCAGGCCAGATCAGATTAGATCCAATGAGATCATATCTGATCTGACCAGATCAGATCTAATTAGATCAGATCATATCCAATCAGATCAGAACTATAAAAAATCAGATCAGATCAGAAAAAATAAGTTGAACGGAATGGAGTCTTAGAGAGTGAAGAAAACTTCAAAATGGAACAAAGTATTGTATCACTCTCAAATAGATTCCGTGCCATATTATTGTATCACTCTCAAATAGATTCAGTGCCTTAGACAGAAAGTACACTTATCATATCAAGAGTAGTTCGGCACTGGCGGTTTCATCCCCCCCACCAATACTGTTACTTGTACAATCCAATGCTCAAAGTTAATTATGGAGAGAAGTTTTTGTGCCAAATTAATTTTTGTTAAATATTAAACTTCCCTCTTATTACAATTCTATACTTTAAATGAAATTCTATATATAGAAATACATGTGTGCATTCAATACACATTTTAGGCATGTTTTTCCTGACATTCTCCTCACCATCTTCAACCTTTCCGTCTTCATCTTCATAGTCTGTTCTGTCCTTCCTTGTTCTGTCCTTACTCATAGACTCCAAACCATTATCACCATCTTTCTCCTCATCATCCTCTTTGCCTTCATATTCTTCATTTTTGTGCAATATGAACCTACCACCACTAGTCCAGGTCCCACTCCTCAATCTTGAGACTCCTGCATCAGAAGAAGAAATAAGTAGATTGTGAAAAAATGGTGGTGAAGAACGTAATCGTAAACGTAAAAGAGTAATTGACAAGTTATTCTGTAAAATTGGCAAACTTCAGTCGGGGTTGTATGAAAGTAGTCGTTGTGGAATTCAACATCTCAACCAAAACAGTTGGAAAATTATGAAGTATAGCTAAGAGTCAAATGCAGGATGGTCTACCTGTACAACATTTTTTCAATCTCAACAGTAAACATATGGAGTGTAAAGTAATTTTGCAACACCCTTTTTTGTGTTGCTAACTTTTAAAAAAATAACATACTACTGAGTATCAAGAGCATATTAACATTAGAGCAAAAGCAATGGGGAGGTGGTTCGTTGCCATGCCACACTACCTCTACAAAATTATTAACTTTTGGGAGAAAGACCAAAGTAGGACTAAAACATTGAAGATATACCAAAATAGGACTTCCATGTTTTTATTTCCCGAAATAGGACTTACATTACCAAACATGGTCATGTACATTACCAAGAAAGTATAGTAATTTATACATGTACACTGCCACATTACCACAATGCAAAGTCACATTACCACAATGCAAAGTCCTATTCCGGGAAAAAAAACATGAAAGTCCTATTTTGGTACTTTTCTCTATGTTTTAGTCCTATTTAGGATGATTTCTATTAACTTTTTGTTGCCTCGAGTGGTTTGCAAATTTGACACGCGTGGAGAAGCCTCGACGAGACATTCCTCACCCTTCTGTTTTTATTTTTTTCTTATTTTTTAAAGTTTTCATTAAAAAAATTATGTAAAAAATT